CACTTGAGTATCTTAAGGCTGCAGTGTCGTTATTATGGGTATCTGGATATGGATTAGTGTAAGGTAGTCCTAATGGCTTTAGAGGAAGGGAAATTGCCACTCAACCCGCATCACTCCTGAAAGAATGAGGAATGGAGACCTAGATTTTGGAAAGAAAAATGTAAAAATCAACTGATGCACATTTGGTTTTCATACAGTGTCTCATCGATAGAGTTTACTCTGTGTTTGATGCAGAAGTTATGTTTCTTTACTTTCTGGATGGATAAAACAGGAATTATACCAGCTACCTTCCCAGCAGAACTGTAAAGCTTATGTAATGCTCACTAGAGTGCTATGATGAAAAGCATAAATCTCTAAACAGTGTGTCATTTAACATGCCTGTTAGTTGTGACTTAATAGAAAATATACGATGAAATGTTACAGTATGCTTCTAACTCAGCAGTGACTCAAATATGATGGTGTTCGCAGTGTGTGTTTTGTTGTGGGTGGGTTTTTTAGTGGTATCTGCATGGGTAGGACTGTTTTATTTTTTTAAGATGTTGGTATACCTGATATTTAGACTGAGATTCTGTCTGTGCATAAAGCTGGAAACAGTGTTGACCACTGTGGTGCAGATGCCATGAATAAAGTTTCTGAGGTCTGGTTCTCTGCTCTGATATCATGTCCAAATCTGTGGTTACCATTCCCAGTCATGGCTCTGTCAGCCAGGGAATTCACCCAGCTGCATTATTCATGGTGTGGAATAGTTCATCAGGAAAAGCTGTTGGTGATTGTCATAAATCTTCAGAAGTACACTGCTCCGAAAAAAAAGAAGAGAAACTGAATCACTGGAAGAAGTTACCTGTGAGCTGCCCATACCAGGACAGACATATATTAAGTGTCTAGGTCAGAAGAGGATGCAGAACACTCTCTTTGTATACCATTAAGCCAAATACCATAGGCCACTGCATCATTCTTTTTACCCTGCTGTATAGTCAGAACCTGTCATAAAAGTTCAGAAGCCAGTTTCTGTCACTTCTGACACAAGTGAAAATCAGACCAGTCTTGCTGGCATTACTATGATATGACAGTAAACTGCAAGATACCTGTTAGCAGTAGTCAAATTCAATTTTGTGTGGAATGAGCGTGGGTTCTATTGTACTACAGACTTCAGATTTGTGATCCAGTCCAACCAATATCAACATTGTTAACGGTGTTTCAGCTCTGAAGTAACTCTCCCAAAGCAATTGAGATAATGAAACTGAGAACATTTCTCACTCTTATCATGTGAAAACTGTTGTAGAAGTGAAAGTGGTGGCTGGTAAGCCATGTTGCATTCTCAGTGCTTTAAAAATTGTGAGATTTTGCTCACCATTTATTGTTGAGGCTATCTGATGGGTTTTCCTTTTGCTAATGCTATGTAATTTTGAAGCAATAGCTTTGATTTATAAGTCCCCCAGTACAAAGTTTTAGTTGACAGTATGTGATTTGGGGTGGAATGACAAACCTTTCATCATTGATTATTGATTCAAACACAGTACAGCAACATGTTGAAAATCTAAAGGTGAATGAGTTTCACCAATAGATAGTCATTCAGTCCCAAGCAGAGGAGTGGCCATCCTACCAGTAATTTCTGCCACTTTATTGTTTAAGGAGATGCTTTTAGAGCCTGTAGACTTTGGTTATATTAAGGTCAGCCTCTGAAGGATCAAAATGTAAAGTGCCTATGTTTAATGTCATTTGAAAATCAGGTAAGCCTGTTCTTTTGTCTCTTGTGAGTAAAGTGAAAGCTTTTTTGTTCTAGGGAGATAATGCTGATGCAATTTATAACTGTTCAGAGAAGCCTAACCGAGTTGGTTGCTTGGTGAGGGCATAACAGCAGCAGTGTAACCTGCTGGAAAGCAGTCTGTTTCTGAAGTGAGGGGGCAAGACTAAAAATTCTTGTTTATTTTTTAGTTAATTTCTGTTAGCATAGGATAATAAGATAGCTAATACCTTCAAGAAGTAGGTTCAAAATATTTCAGAGGGCTGATTTACTGCAGTATTTTTGTGAAATTTGGGTCATACACTTTTTTATTTTGCATTCTTGTACCTGAAAATGCATGAGAAAGCAACTCTACCCATCCCCTGGCATTGCACAGCCTTCAGTCATGTTTTGAGAGAGTGAAAAAAATAAGCTTTTAGCAGAGCTGTATCTTGAAGAGGAGTTAAGCAGTGAGTTTGACTTCTGCAAGCCAGCTTTGCAAAGATGGTATATGTTTTTGTATTGCATAAAGTTACAGAAAGATGAAAGAGGAAGAGCCTTAGCATTTAATGCAAGATGCTGAACAGAAGACTGTCCAGACAGGAAACATATAGGAAATTCTTGTTTGTTCTGATTCTGCCTTGGTGGGTTAAAGAACAGTTTCACCTGGCTGCACAGTAAGAGTGATCTTTTTGGTCAGTGTTTGGGATGAATTTGACTGGGATGTGTGTGTGCTTCCAAAGACAGTAACTCCTGGTGCACAGAAGCCTTGAGATAATTAGTTAGCTGAATATTTTGGTTGCATTTTCTCTGCATTAATTGGTTTTATGCAGGCTTACTGAATGTATGGAGAGGAGTGGAAAACAGTGCATATTTAATATGATTAAGTATGTTTGCATATTCAGTACAAAATAGCGTATAAAATGTGGTGTGTTCTGTTTTTCTTGGAAGAGGTTTAACAGCAGTGAGTGTGCTTCACAATGTCTCTTTTGAAGATGGGTTTTATTTGGTGTTCAGCTTATTGTTTTAAATTAAAGCCTCCTTGCATGTTCTCGTGAATGTTTGCAGGTGAGGAAGGGAGCCAAAATAGCCACATAAGAGCACTGGGTATATTAAAGTGGGGAAAAAATAGTTACCTGAGCTGTAAAACTCTGGAATTAACCTCCTTATTATTGCAAACTGGAACATTGGCTCCATGCCATGTCCAAGTGTGTCTGTTACAAGCTCAGTCTGTGCAGCAGTACTCACCTATTCCTTGAAAGGCTTTTACACAAAAAGCTGGCTGTCACAGAGTATTTGAGCGCTGAAGACTATGGGCCTTAGCAGCAAACAACTAAATGCAGGGCAAAGTTGATTATTTAGAAGTTCCCTCATTTCATGACAATGACAACTAAGCTGTTCCAAGGCTAGTTTTGTCTAAAGTCTTCTTTCCCTGGTCTTTGTGAGATTTCAGGATCTCTAGATATGAACATTCAGTTCTTTGTCTTTTGAATATTCTTCAAGGACCATGTCAGTTATGACAATAATCTCCCTGGAGTTCATCCCCAAACTTCTCATATTTTGCTGGCATAGAAAGAATGACTGTTTATAAACTCATGATTAGAGTATCCTTTCATCATGCCATCAGCAAAAGTTAAGACAAGCACTTTTCTGCTGCTTGCTGGCAAACTGTCTGCATGCTAATCTTTCAGCTATTTGGGAGAGGAATTTTTTGTGGCACTTGCATCCTATTGTGCAGCTACAGGGTCTAGCACACCATATTTCTTTTTGCTTAGGTAGGTGTTGCTTTCTTGCAACTTTTCTTGCAGCTTCACTTTTTCTCTTCCTTTTTGCACCTCAGCAAAGCTATGGGCAACTGTCTTCAAAATAATTTAGTGCTAGGCACACACAGCCTAGCATAGTTTACATGGACATGATTTCTGCTAATGAAAAGAGTAGAGTATACATAATATCATGATAAAAATTAATTAGCCACTGATAGGGTAGGATTTTTGTATTTCTGTGCAAATTAAAAACATGTTACTTAATTTAAATAATGCACAGAATGAAATATTTATTTTCTACCTTTATTCATAAAATCTTCAGTACTTATATTCTTATTGAGACAACACCTATCTACCCTATCACATACAAATTGCCTACATTAAGTGGTGATAATACTCTTTCTGTGTATATGTAAGAGTAAACACAGCTATAATGCAGTAATTTATTTTTTTTTGGTCAGGCTTACTATTAAAACCATCCTTTGTTGCCAGAGTAGGGTAGACTGAATAAGACAAAGTCTATGCTCTTCCTTTTGTAAGAACAACAATGCCAAGTAACCCCTGTAGAGAAGATGAATAGAGCTGAAAACAAAAGTGTCAGTTTCACAGTTGCTTTCTAATAGTGCTTCACAATCCAACAGAAAACTTAAGTCCACTACTGAATTTCTGAAGGGGGTCAAGGAAAATAACAGTCTCTCTAGAGGTCTGTGGAAGACAAGAATTATTTCTGTGCAGTACTGTAGGTTTCACTCTCAGTAGGTTATGTGAAGTTTGCAAAGAGCTGAATAGTTAAAAATGCAGAACAAATATGGAAGTTTTGCTGGAGGTCTTTTTTTTCCTACAGAGAAGAGCACCGAAGCTATGGCAAATGCTTAGAGGCACCACTGGTCATTTTAGGAGCAGCTGCATAAAGCTTCTAAATTGTCACATAGTATTTTGTCTACTAAACTTGTATGTTATGTATGTTTTGTATGGCATGCGATCACTATAAAAATGCAACAAAATGAAAACATTCATTTTGGAACTAGGCGATTAAACAAGATTTATTGAATTCCCATCTTTATAACTTAAGACTGTGTTTGAGTAGCTATTTAAAAAAAAAGGCAAATATTAAAAAATAAGAAGTTAATTCCTTAAGACTTTGAAAAATAAAATACTTTTTTTTCTTCTAAATCTTCATCAGGTTAGAGGTTGGACAGTTTTTAAGGCTAGCTTGCTGTATGTTTTCTTTTCAGCTCATAATTACTAGAGAATAATGGTAAAACAGTAACAAACTGACCGACTTGAACCTACCAGTAATGTGTATCATTTCTCTGTCCTTAGGAACATGAAGCCTTTTGGGATGGCTTTGAAGAGGAGGAGCTGTTAGATTGCTCTGAAGTTGATACGAACATCTATGGGATAAAGAGCAGGGCCTGGAATACCTGTGATAAGGAGCAACTGTTTACAGATACCTGCATTAAATTTCAGCCGTGTTTTTCTGTCAGCTGCTGCAGAACAGAAGATTAACAGACATGGCCATAGCACTTAAGCAAGTCTTCCTTAAAGATAAGACTTTCCGCCCAAAGCGCAAGTTTGAACCTGGAACCGAGAGGTTTGAACTTCACAAACGAGCGCAGGCATCTCTCAGGTCAGGTGTGGACTTGAAAGCAGCTGTGCAGTTGCCCAGTGGAGAAGACCTAAATGACTGGGTGGCAGTTCATGTTGTTGACTTCTTCAACAGGATCAACCTCATTTATGGAACTATATGTGAGTTCTGCACAGAGAGGGTCTGCCCAGTGATGTCTGGAGGCCCTAAGTATGAGTACCGGTGGCAGGATGACTTGAAGTACAAGAAGCCCACTGCGTTGCCAGCACCCCAATATATGAATCTTTTGATGGATTGGATCGAGATGAAAATCAACAATGAGGATATATTTCCTACGAGTGTAGGTAAGTGCGAGGAATTAGTCCTAAATTGCCATTCATAATGTGTGCTAAGCATATTCTCTTCCTGCCTTCATTTTTAGGGACATTCAAGCTGTTAAAGAGCAGGTGGGGAGAAGGAGCGATCAGAAATAGTGTGCAATGTTAATTGTGGCTGCTAGATGTGGTGAGGCTTGTTAGCCTTATATGTTTGTCCCTAATAAGCCTCTGAGCTTCATCACTAAGGGGGTTCAGCATTGCATTAGTACCTTCTTGAAAGTTAATCAAATTTGCATTGATTTGCACTTTGCTTGGCCACTTAGATGCAGAATGAATGAAAAGCAAAAATAATTAGAGCTCTCCCCTAGTGTATACATATATGGACGAGACAGTGGAGAGTCAGAAGTGCAGTGAACTTTGCCCTTCCACCCTCTCTTGATTCCTCACGTAAATCTGCCAAGTTGGAAAGTGAACTATTGTCCAGATTACTGTGTTTAGTATTACACGTAATACGAAATACCAACAAGCCTTGCAATGCTTTGACCAGACAGCCTAGAAGAGGGAGCTGTTAAGGGCAGCACAAATTTCCTTTTTTAATACTCTGAAGAGTGGGGCAAATAGATTGAAATGTCTTTGCTGAAATAGTTCTCCGAGGACAGCTTTTGAGAAGAGTGCATTGTGTAGTGTAGACAACCTAAACCTTTAGCTGTGACTGCATGGAATCACAAAAAAAAAAAAAAAAAAAAAAAAAAAAAAAAAAAAAAAAAAAAAAGGTTTTTTTGCTTTAACAATGTATTTACATGATTTTTAGCAGTTTTAGTTAATGGGTTCTGATTCACTTCTTTCAAATGGAAAAGCTGGGAGTTTGTTGTAAGAAATGTGAGATGTTGTATATTAGTACTTAGCCCAGATGAGTAACAAAAAAGAAGAATGCCATGTATTAAGATTGATTCAGCCCAATATTTTGTAGTTTTTATGCAGGTAGAGCCTGCAGCTAATTGGTAGATGATGCATCAAGAGGCTGTGTCTATCAGTATTTCCTGACCTTTGAAATACCTTATTCTCAGCCTTGGCAACTGTTTGTCTGGACGAACTTGTGATTTCTTTCCTAGTTCCTATCACTTTTCTGTTCTACACTAATAGGTAGAAAGGATGCAGTAACTGTATTTTTTAATCTGGACTTTGTCAACACAGTAAGAAGGAGAATTTCAGAGAAAGCAGTATCATATATTTTGTGTAGTGAAAAATGAGTTTTATTTCTTTAGCATTTTTTAGTTTGTGAATGATTTTTGGAGTTTTAGGTGGGTTGAAGGTGCAGAGAAATGATTTTGCTTCCACTGGTATTTCTGCAGGCATTTGTTATACCAAGTTTCCACCTTGTAGTATTCCAATATTGCTCTGTTTCCTTGCAGTTTGCATATGCAGGGAATATTGTCTGTTAGCACATATGGGGAGCAGGTAGCATGCTGGCCTGCTGATGGGTTTTACCAAGCCAAGAAATAATCTATAACATGAAACCTTTCAGCTCTAGATGCTCACCCCTTGTATCTGTAGTAAGATCTTTCAGGAGAACCTTTTATCCACAATGGCTTACCCATTGTAAGCCTAAGAGTGGAATGAGTAAATACTCTCAGTCCACAGTGTTCACCTCCCAACAGCTTCTGCTGTTGTCAATTAAATCAAACCTGAAGACACTGAAGAAGGGGAACAACCTGTGGTCTCTAGAATGAGGCTGGACCCTGATACAAGTCAGAACAGGAAAACTTGATGTCCATGAAAACCTGTGTCACTCTGAATTGACCCAAAGGAAGGAGAAAAGTCTATTTGAACCATCATGGAGTGTTGAACTGTACCATGTTTATATTAGAGACTGAGATGACTGGAGTAATCTCAAGTCCCATAAAGAGATTTTATACATACCTTTGGAGCATTATTCCATAGAGAAGCACTTTCACTTATATTCCTCTCTCCTCTCCTCTTGAGCCTTTGTTGCAGACACTGTACTAGCCCCCTACACTCTTCTCATCTTTTTGATTCACCAGTATTCACATGAAACTGTTGGTAAAATTGCTTGTGAGGCCTTAGATCTTGCTATTCAGAAACAGATACATGCTGTGTTCAATTTGGTGTTCTGGGTACCTCTTCTGTCAGCAATTCCCTACTTAGGCACCCAGAATATTCAAAAGGAAGTTTGTTCTTGGGGTAAGTTACCTTTTCCTTAAAGAGAATCTTTCACTGAGGAGCAAGTTTCAAGGAAAACAATTTCAGAATAGGAATAGCCAGCTTTGGTGGGACCTTTTTTTTTTTTGTGGTCGTGGTGGTGTTCCTCTGTGGTTTAAAACAAAAGACCATGAATGCAGCAGAGTTATATATTGTTATTAATGTTATATTTAACCCTCTCAGTGTTTACCCTTGGCATGATGGCCTCTGGCCTCTTACCAGTCACTGTACGTCCTGTGGACTGGTGCTATGTCCTCTCTGCTTTCTCTAGTCATTCTGGTCTATTCATTTTCTAATAAAGAGCCTCTTCTCTCAGCCACTCTCCTACTAATACTGAACTAGCTGGCAGAAAACAAGGGAGCCTCATATGGGAACAAAAGAGCTGTCAAGAATTGTGAGTGACAAAATCATGTCCGGAGTATCAGGACTACTTCTTTGTATAGCAGAGCTTTAAGGACTGTGTTTGTAAAATGGTCTCACAGTCTGCAGAGGATTGCAAACATGATTATTTTCTTGTTATCGTTTCCATTGTCCATTCTTTTATCAATTTTAAGTGGATTTAAGGCAGTTAAGAGACTGACAGCTCTGGAAACATGATCTGCATATAACCACATACAGACC